TTAAACTCATGGACAAAGGATATCTGCATTACAGCCTAGTTAGTAAATGCTCCATGAAAAATATACATATTCCTCTTTTCCAAGACCTTAAAATTTTCTCCTCTGACAACCTCTCTTCAAACACCTGTTTGCATTTAGTTCTTGAACTAATACTAGTTTGTGGCACAAAGTGGATAAAAGATCTTTTATAATTCAAAGGTATAACCTGTGGATTACGTTCAATTTCAAGATATTTTTAACAAAGATATTTTTAGTTGAAAAAGAAAGCTCTCAAAGGACTGGCAGAATGCTGTGAAACTCCTGTTGTAATTGCAATTGGGGAGCTCATTAMATATACCCCAGGAAATCATATGGAAAGCATTTATTGCAAGATACTTGATAAAATTCCTGCCTCTCCAGGCTACCAGTGCCTTCTCTTGGTCAAGTTTTTCAATCCTGCAATTGTTCTACAACGCAGCAGCTTTTTCTACTCAGYCTTCAGAAAATGCCAGTCAGAGGGCAGCATGGTATGGTCCCTTTTTGTCCACAACTGGACTATGGATGTACCTGAACTTTTTTATTTTTCGAGCAGAGGTTTGCCATAAGTGATGAGTTTATTCAGTTCTAAACCTGCAGCACTTGTACAAGCTCTACGTGCACTTACATAAAAACTGATCATATCTGAAGATTTTTTTAACAAGGAAGGGTTTTCAGGAGGAAAGTACAGCTTCACAGGCACTTGAGCTGGAGCAATGCACTTTTTGATTTCTGAATTCTGCGACCTAAACACACGCACATGTGCACACAGATGTGCAAACTCCCACACCCTCCCCTCACACAGCATCCCTCTCCAACCTAATGGATATAAATTTGCCAAGAACAAGTTGGAGGGTTTTCCCAAAACAGTTGGGAATGGTGGATGCCCCATCCCTGGGAGTGTCAAGAGCAGGCTGGGGTGTTCTCTCAGCAATCTGCTCTAGAGGGAGGTGTCCCTGCCCATAGCAGGGGGTGGATGAGCTTTAARGTCCYTTMCAACCAAAACCATTCTAGGAYTCTGTAAGAACAGCTYTCCTGYTTATTTYRCTCCTGCAGGAGCTRTTTATCCTAATTTATCATGTCTACACTTCCAAGTTCAAACTTTATCACTTCAAGCAATTCCACAACTCCTTCTCTCCCCAGTAGCTGACTACTGTCTTTAACCTATTACTTGACCAAAATTCTCCATTTAGAATTGAAGGAATTTGATCTTTCTCCACCCTTCACGTTTCAGTTTCCCCTGTAACCAAACTAAGGCTTCCTTCCAAGCTTCTGAATGATCTGAGATTTCTCATTACCTCTCCTGGGTGACTCGTTCCTCATTAGAGAAGAACTGGTGCTTGCTCTAATATTGAAATACAACACACACTTGAATCCCTCGAACAGCCAGCACATCCAGCCACAGGCAACTCAGGGAATGCTGCACTCTGTCTTCTGATTTTTGTATTTCTAGAATGTCTGCTGCAAGGGGGTTATGATTTGAGCACATTTATTTGCAGATARTAATACTAATAAAACACATCCATGTGCAGATATAAATAACAATAGTAATACAAATAAAAAGATGGAACTATAGCCACATATGGTTATGATGAAGGCATAAAAGAAACAAAGCTGAGAGAGAGCAATATTCTGTGCTTAAGATTCTGTACTAAAAGTCCTGCCTATCCAACAACCAGTAACACTCTTGAGCACTTGAAAGGTTGAATTATTTCCTTCTCTTTTCACTGGGATCATGCAAGGTGTAATCGCTCTCTAAACCTTGCTTCTCTAACAGGAATGTATATGCAGACAGGTAATTAGTGAGAAGAAACAGATAAACAGAAGTATTTGTTAAAAGCCAGACTGATAGCATGGATGGAATGGACAGTTTGTGAAATAAATAGAAAAAAACATTGGTTATCTCCCATATGATTCTGATCTCCTGCTCATCCTTTTTTCTTCAATTGCTTTATGAACTTACTGTTGCAATTCAAACATATCTCACATGCTTCTGCCTTTATTCACATCACACACAGACCCCACCCTTTAAAGAGATCCTTAAAAAATTAATATATGAATACAAAAATGGCAGTATTTGTAGATAATATTATGCCACTTAAAGATATCCTAAAGTGGTACATTTTTAGAAAAGGTCATTACCCCAAATTWTAAGATTCTGAAATTCTCTCACAACCTTTGTGATTGAGCAAGAACAATACTATGGGGGGAAGGGGGAATAAATAAATGTCATGTACCTGAAAATAATGCTAAGAATTATTAATCCAGATTGCATAGAACCTCATGTCCAAAAAGGAAGTCAGAGCATATTCTGCATATTTTAAACCTGAGAGAGCATTTATTRAAACTGGYAAYGGCYTTCAYAAAACTTTCTGTTTYTTTGGTGGCTTATRTGAAGCCACAGWAAGGCCTTAWTTYATTCCTAAAATRGATAGGTGAAAACCACAACTTCTGCTTCTAGAGTGTAACTGATAGTTAGGTCATTTAGTGCATTCAACATTAAAAAGACACCTTGAGACAGTAAAATAAAATAAAAATGCACATTAGCAGTACAGGTTGGTGAAAGGGGTCTGTTCTGACTGGCTTAGAGTTACTCTGTATAATTATGACTTTAGGATTGCCCCTTGGAACAAGCAAATCTTATTCTCATTGTCTTTACTGAATGGTAATAAGGGTTTGATGATGTATAAAGTTTGCATTCCAAACTCATGCAGGCTGTGAGAGAGAGCTGAGTCCCTGCTGAGTGACAATTGACCAGGCATCTCCTATTTCTTCTAAAAATCACCCACTCTTGAATTAGAGACTGGTCAAGGAACACATTAGCCCTTGGACAGGGGTGTCTTGGAGCTTTTGAGAGAAAAAGCAGGAAAGGAACATCCAATATGTGACTTTATAGGCAGCAATATGCTCTTCTTAGGGATGCATGATTCTGAAAACCCAATTGTGTTACATGGGGGTACAAAAAGCTCCAAGCACCCATGGCCCATACACTGCTGATCAGAAGAGCCACTCCGTGCTCTTCCAAGTCTAAGAAGTGGTAGTCAGGACATTAACCTTGTTTCCAATGGATTTATGGTACCTCAAGTCAGAGAGTTTCATTACATGAAAACATTGACAAAGGAAYTGAGATCGTATTAMAAAARAAAAAAAAAAGATTATTCATCCTACACAGTCATTGTCTTTGCTGCCCACCAGGCACCTGCATCACATCCCCACAGCATTTTCTGTTTTCATAACCCATGCACTGAGATGAGATAAGTTTAAATCTGTATGAGTTTCAGAGTTTATCCCAAGTCTAGGCCTTTGGTTCATGATTTCACTACTGACTTTTGCATSACAACCATTGAGCAAAGCTATCTTCATCTGACAGGTATTTCATATCTCTCTGTACATTTGTGTCACAGGATTCCCAAAGACTAAGGTTGTTTTTTTACCTGATGAAGATTGAAATTTTCTCTTTAAGAAATAGATCTAAAATTCTTTGGGAAAGTAAAAGATAGAAATATATATATAAATATATATTTTAAATCAGAGAAGTCAACGTTATGATGTAGCTCACATACTTTTGTTTGTTTCTTGTTTACAGCATTATTTCTACAAAATTAGCAAGACTCATACAAACAAGCTTAATTCCTGAAGTTGTACCAAAATATCTGTGCTGTTTCTTTCCCTGTTCAAGAAATAGGAAGTCAGGTTTGGACTATGGAACATGTGCAACATCATTGTTCACTAAACTTCATGCTYTGCAGGATTAACTTGGTAAAATATCTCAAAACAGGAGCAATAGAAGCTAAGCGGCGTTTTCAGGTTTTTGCTCMATTTATTTAGCAAAAATAAAGCTTTTTATTTCTTCCTGTAATGATCCACGCACTCCAAATTTATGTTTAAACACCCTCTGAGAGCTGCGCTGATGAGTGTAAGTTTGCATCACAGAAATGGTCCCCCAGATTAARTATATATTGTGAAATGCATGTGAATGTGCATGACTTGAACCAATGAACTGTGGCCTGGAATGATGTCACAGAATGTGCAGCATTAAGTGGAAGGTTAAACCTACTTGCATCTCGGTTCATTAAACGCGGTTAAAGTGCAAATTCCCTCATTCTGACAGTAGTAATCACAAGGGTTCACTTTCTGGTCACAGCGCTGACTTTTAAACCCCACAGAGCATCTGCAGAATTTCAGTAAAATAGACCTACATAAATATTCTGCCTTTTGCAGAATTGAAATTTATTCATTACTTTACAGATTTAATTTACGCGTTATATATAACGACGGCAAGACACGCACACGGACACGGGCACACACTCACAGAAAACACAATCAATACTATTTTTTCACAGGAGGTCCATCTGACAATTCTATAAAGCAGCACTTCACTTCCAAGCTACAGAATCCAAATTTCTTTGGTATTTTATGTCTGAGCTTAAGAAAAGCACCCTGAATTACTCTCCTGWCCGTGGCACAGGAGTGAGAGCACAATTTCACCCCAGAACAGCCACACTGCTGTGGRCAGTGGCAAGGTTAGGGCAGAAATGAGAAATTCATGAGCACATCCCATAAATAACACTGACATTACTCTTCCTATTCTCCAGCTATCAGGAGGAGGGATTTGCCTCCACCTCTGACCAACTTTGTAGGAGAAAAGACTTAATCCACCTTTGAGAAGCAAGGCAGGCAACCCTCAGATTCCATTCCAGGAAAAATGCCTGAACAGGCCTGAAATTATTATGAGTCTCTAAAGAAATATCTCTGTATCTATAACAGGCACTTTATAGTCCTTAGTTATAAATGTCAACACACACCTTGCAAAAAGGTATGCAAAGTTACAGAAATAGCTACAGAAAAACAGATATTGTAAGCTGAAACTGCAACCAGCACATTGTGCATCCTAGAGAGACCAAAATTACAGCCACATGCATAATAATGCWATTATTTGTTGTCACACAGGCATTTGAATGGCCTACAGGAGGCAGGATACTCACAGACAGACAGGGATATTTGTCTCRGGGTCCAGCTGACAGGTACCACCATTGTAGCAGTAGCCATCACACAGCTGACAGGTAGAGGCAATCTTTCCATTAGTGCAACTGCCATGGTTAAAAAAAAAAATGCAAAAAAGAATCAGTATTTTAATAAAACTGTGTATTTCCTTACAAAAACAGTATTTTAATAAATAATTATAAGATCTATTGATTGGAAGAATTGTAAGTTTCCAGTTTAAAATGTTGGTACAGGCAGGTAGATTATTAAACAAAATATCTTTAATCTTTCCATTTATGAAAATAAACATTTATAATACAAAATAATCACTCATCAATCGAGCAGCACATGTTACTGCCTATCTCTCCAACAGTATTTAGTATGACTCTATCACTGTCATAGACAATGCAGAATGAAGAAAATTCAACAGTATGGTAAAATTCCACTGTTAATTTGATTAATTTAAATTTTTGCAAGTGAAAATCCATTCAACCTCCTGCCACATTGTGCTTCCTCCAGTGAGGAGGGCTCCACGAGTTGGATTTAAAGTGAGGAGTCATTGATCTGAGTGACCACTTCAGGGATAAGCCACTGTGTGAAGGATTTAAAGGATAATGCAATGGAATTGCCAGTAAATGCATGATTTTGATCAAAATCTCTCCCCTGCACACACTTACTTGCACACTATGTCATTGCTGTCCTTGTTTATGATGCAGTGTCCCCCGTGGCACCTCAGGCACTTGTCCACCTCACATTTTGGACCTTCAAACCGCACTGGGCACACACATTCCACACTCCCATCGTCAGAGATCGTGCACGATTCCGAATTCACGCAGTAGTGGTGGCAAACATCTGAAAGCAACACCAGAGATAATTATTAAAAGACATTAAGGAGTGCTATAGAAAAAAAAATAATGCATTACTTTCATGTTTTAAAAGGYTCTGTAATAAAAACAAAATGAAAACTGAGGCTGGTGACTCACTGGCAACCACAGGAATCAAGAATACCCCATAAACAGATATATAATATATTAACGAGGTAGTCTTCAGAAGTGAAATGGAAGTATAAACTCATAAGAGGGTTTGGTTTTTTTTTTTCCCCTTCTACTTGTCTAACCCTTTATGGCATCATCCCACATAATATAAAATAATATGAAGAGTACTGATGAGAAAAGCAGAACGATGTWAATGTATTTAATGGGACGTTGGCTGAATAAAAATCTTCTGATACATTCACATTACCATTAACAGCATTATGCTAAACTGAAATTGAAACGATATTTTGAAATAATTAAGTTTTAYTTTCATTTATCCACATATTAAAATTTCATGAAGTTCTAATAATAATATATAAAGACATAATCCACAAGTTTCACCAAGTACTACATACATGCTTATCGTTATAGACTGTGCAAGACCCCATTATAGTGTTTAACTGTTTAAATGCCAACAGGACTGAGATTTCAAGTAGCGAATTCTTTCACCCTTCAGAACCAACAGTAACGGTCTCATTTTCCRTACCTTTAAAAAACAAAATTGCCTACATGAAGAAACCTCCAGAGCTCCAAAATACTGGCATCCTAACATTTTGGTTAATTTTTGCTTAAGTGGTAGTGACAACTTCATTTTGTGGTTTGGTTTTTGTTTCTTTAAAGCCATCATTTCAGCTCCTTAATGGGCAGGGACACCTTCTGCTATCCCAGGTTGCCCCAAGCCCCATCCAACCTGACCTTGGACACTTCCAGGGATCCAGGGGCAGCCACAGCTTCTCTGGGCATCACTTGTGGGGGTATTTCAAAGCCAKAAACACATTTTGTTTATGTACTCTGTGCTGTTTTCCTCCTCTCCAAGGAGTGAGTACAGCTGGAGGAGCTCTGCTGAGGGACGGAGCATGGCTGCTGGAGGAGTAATTTCTGTTTGAAAATTCATTAAAAGTCTCCACCTGTCTGTGCAGGTTCAGCTGCTTTAGGAATCACTGCTCAGCACCCAGAGAGGCTCAAAAGGCACTGAATGAAGTTGTTCATTGTTTCTCTTTCCCCAGTTCCAGGTATGGAATGGCAATTTGCAGCAGGGGGGCTGCTTATGGAACAAAAAATACTGCAKTTTGAAAGCTAATCCTGAGAGTCATTTTGTGTAAGAGCAGCATAAGGGACATATCTTTGCATGTACATTAGGTGAGAAAAAATCCTAAAAAACACAAACTCAAAATGTAGGAACAGGAAGGTCACATGTCAAAACAATTATTAGTTTTTGGTATTGATTGTAATCATGAATGCCTTTAATCATCCGCTGTATTGAAAATGTTTATTGCTACATTTGGACTGAAATGACACAATTTTATCCTTTTCCTCCTAAAGAAAGGAATTTCAGTTTCAGAGAAAGCCACAGCTTGTGGGATCTCTATATCCACTTTGAATGATAGCAACTGCACGGAAATGTTTCCTATTTTTTAGGTAGTTTGGGCCTTAAATGATACAAGAAATGAACTTCAGCTACTCTGTGTGTCTTTCTTCTGGAATTTAAAATAGGGAGCTACACTCAAATACATCATATTTATGTGTATTTAATAACATGCGCAGTGTTAGTAGAATTCTATGTAAATTCACTCACCTAAATTTATTTCAGCAGTGCCAGTGCCTTGACACGGAGCACACATTTTGGTTATTAGCCCTTATGTGAACTAATCACAGGAGAAACTCTGCACTGGGTAATTGGGGACGAGAAGTATGGGGAAAATAAGGTCTTTGCAAGCCTGGTATTACTGCAAGCAAATGCCTTCTCTCTGCCATAAAACCCCACTAATAATATTTTAAGCTTGGGAGCAGGAGTAAAATACCTGTGCACATTCATGTGTCATCCTTTGCATATGAACTAGCTTCAATCACAGCAAAGACAGGCTGAAAAAGAGATCTGGGAGGCAACGAGCCCTGGCAAAAATGCTGTATTAAAGTGTTCCAGCTTGCATACAAAGTGAAGGTGATTCATAAAACAAAAGATCATACATGTGTGAATAAAGAAAACAATAATCGATTTTATATACAAATTATTAACCAGTGCAATTTCACAGAACTGTTCTGGCTACCCGAAAATACTCTAAAAAACTGTAAGAGGGTTTTGTTTTTTTTTTTTCCCTAAAAACCTAAGTTTTAAACGAGCWAAAGCTTAATTTTATTTTGTATTTTATAATGTATTTGAGTCTCTGTATTGTGGCAGTTTCACAGTGCCAGCAGACAATCCAAATCTGATAATAAGTACTGTTTAAAAAGTACCCCTAAATTTACATTTAAATTAATTCTCAAAAAAGGAAAAAAAAATGTTTGCAGAAGCATTCAACTAGAAACAATTTGTTTGGTTTTGGGTAAGCCTCAAGTAAATATTTTTCCTTAATCTGTGTGTCTGTCTGTGCATGATTTATGTACTATACTATTTTCAAATACCCAATTGTGTTTGCAGATACTTATTTGTGGATTCATGCAGTTTGTTTAATACCAAGGGGGAGAGAATCACAATTACTGCTGRTTTTCCATTCAAAGGTTTCAATTTATTTCATAGTCTCCCAACTGGAAATATATTCAGTTTACTTCAGTAGAAATCCTATTTAAGATACACACTATCCCTTTCCTTGTTTGACAGACCTTTCTCTAAAACAAAATACTTTTTGTATCTTGTAGATAATTCTAAACCAGACCTTTATAACACCTAATTTCCCTTCTTTTTTTTTTTCTTAAATCAAGCCTTCTTCAGCAAATTCACTGAATGTACAAGAGATGATGGCTTTCACATTTAATGTTCTATGACAAGCACTGTGACAGTCTAACAAGACTGTGACAGTCCTTTCCTTCAGAATGTTACAGTCAAAAGCAAAGCAGGAGTAGAAAATACGAGATGATTAAAAAACATCATTCAGAACTCAATAAAATAATTTGTTCTAACTTAAGGTTGCTTGTGAGTCATCGTTTTTGAAGAAACATGGGAAAGACAACCTGTAATTTGTAAATGAGTGACCAAAACAAGAAATTCAAGATTATTTTCTAATGTCTTGAGTTAAGTGAAAAGAGATAATGGTGGAAAGAAGAGAAAAAGCATGGGGATGAAAGAAATATAAATGGAGTAAGAACAGAATGCCTATTGGTTGATAATCTTCTTCCTCCTCTGTAAAAGAAGTAAAAAATTAGAGGAAGTTGTAAAAGGTGAGAAGAGCCTTTCTAAAGGGATTAAAACCTTCAGAAAACTCTCAGTGAGAGGAGACTGATGGGTCAGTGGAGTGAAAAAATAGGGAGAAATTCAGATGTAAAAGACAGAACCAAAGTCCTGAGAATTAAACAAGAAATCCTTTACAATTTCAACACCAGGATGGGGCAGAAACCATACTCAGGGTGACTTTTGAGCAAGCTGAATAAACATAGCAATGAGAAACTCAGTGCAGCCCTCAATGTTCTGCTTGCTGGGGTTAGAAACAGAAAATAAAGGTAAAGGAGCAGTTTGAGACRTTGATCTGCAGATAAGGGACAGCAGAAGGTTCTTTAACCAACTATGTCAATTCATTACCAGCAGAATAAAACACATGAGAAGTTGGAGTAGGAAATTTTAACACAATTATTTCACATCTACTGGCAAAGTCATCTGTCTTGTACCGCTCCACTCTACGGCTCATGCATGAAAATAACAATAAATCATTCCTAAAAAAAGCTCTTTCTTCAGCCAGCCACGCAGAAGGACACAAATATGTTCAAAGATCACCTGAATACAYCAGATGACATTGCACGAATAATCCRGGACTAAATTTAACAACGAAAACAAAAACGTCAACAAAATGACCGTAACAAAAAACGACCCACGCGGGTTTTAAACTTCCACCGTGCTTGGGGCTTTGATTGCACACAAAGCTGGMAGGGTTTGTGGAGGTTACTCACAGTACTGGCACCTGTCCCCCGTGTACTCGGGCAGGCAGGCACAGAAGGGTTGGTTCCCAGCAGTGACCCCGCAGCTGCCCCCGTTGTGGCAGAAGCGCTCGCACACTGTCTGATTGCAGCTCGGCCCCGTGAAGCCCAGAGCACAACTGCAGGTCGGCCGGCCTGTTTGAAACAAGGAAAGATGGTTTATGATAAAAATTAATACAAATTAAAGCAGAGTTCAGCACTTTCTCGACATGGATTTATGGTATGAGTAGGGGGTTTCAATGCTCGAGCACAACTGTTTTTCTAGATGCTGGCAGGATGTGCTTTTGCAAATGTTGCTTAGATGCAGAACTTTTAAAAATCAAAGTTGGCTCTGGGAGATGTGGGGCACCTCAAAAACTGCACCTATGCGTTTTTACACATGTACAGTCATTGACTCTTTTATGAGAAAAAAAGACTTTATTTAAAATATACAATCATTTTAAAAGATGGCCCTACGCAGGATTTAAAGATATTTAAAGACTAAACTCTTCCAATCATCCTGCCATGCTGGGTTCCTCCAGTTGCAGGGGATAAATGTTTGTACTATCGCCACTGGTGTCTCTTCAGACTGCACTCCATTATTCTCAAATATACAAACAYTGATACATAAACACATGGATACACAAATATTTACTAATGCTCTAATAGCTACACTTTACATAACAACTTTCACTAAAACACAAATATCGGTGCCAGTTCTGTTATGCCACCCCTCTCAGATAGTGAAGACGGTTGCAYAAGAATTGCTGTCTGGCAGCAGACCAAAGATGCCTGTAACATCAATATTCACTGCCTGAAAAGCAGTTAACACTTTGGGATGAACATTTGCACACAATGAACTCCTAGTCCACAGCTTCTTTTCAAAGGATTTTAAAATAGTCTTCAAAATCCAATGCATTTTCCTCCTATGATTCTTCTCCRTTGTAATTTTCCCATTTTTTTCCCCTTATCTAAATCTCATGTCTAAAGGATTTATAGCTTTGTTACAATTCCACTGTTTTATTAAACCCTTCCACTTTCCCCTGTCTTATTTCCTTAAGGCTTATCTTCTTTAAAACAAACTTCTAGATACCATTAATGTTTTCCCATCTCCTGACTTTGCTTTTCTMTCTCATTTATAATCTTCAAGTAAATGACCTGATGTGTCCAACAAACCATCTTCTTTCTCACTTCCTAATAAACCAGTCTCATTCTTGATTATCCCCTGCAAGACACTGTATTTSCTCCACCCTCTTCCTCTTTGCTTTCATTCAACTTGAAGGATTTTCTGAAATTTATGGAGAACAGACCAAGTTTAACACTTTTATTTTTCTTGGCATCCCAGAAGGGAAAAAAAAAGAAGATTAAGTGAGGTGTGAGGTTGTTTCTSAAAGAAAAGGGCAGACAGGATGGATTGGAATGAGATGAGCATTAAGGTTCCTTCCAACCCAAAACATTCCATGATTGTGTGGTTATCAAGGTAACTGCAGAACCTACTGCATGTGTGATGCAGAATCCCTTTGGACTGGAATTACAGGTATAAACAGGAAAAATAACCTCTCAGATTTTATTAYTGATAGCCTAATCAAGRTAATGATATGTGTAGAGAGAGAAGMGAAAGGTGGGGAWYAAGTTATACATGAGAGGCTGCAGCTTTYCCTGGATTAGCATTTGGAAAACTTCCCACCGTGCCATAAAGCAGGAACAAGGTTTTTACATAGAAACAATCCTAATTCATGGAGGGATGGGTTGGTGAGTTCACAAAAAAAGCTGTGCTTGACTTGGGCCTGACCTGTTTTGAGACACACAGAAGAGTCAAAATTCTAAGTAGTCAAATGAAATAACACTAAGGGTCACTTTCTCATAATAATTCTCCCTGATTTTCATGCTGATCTAACAGGACCCTTTTTGCTGGTTTTTGTCTCATTAATTGTTCCCTCAGTTTAACACCAYGTCTGGTGCAGGTACCCACACTTATTTCCCCCCTCTCCTCCTGATGCTGACCACGGCTGCCCCTGAACCTCTGAGATGTGCAACCCTGCCAACCTTGCTGTTCTCTCTTCCCTACTTAGCTGGCTGTGTTATTGAGTAATTAAGATTAAACTGACTATTCCACAAACCCCACATTTCAAAATTTCTTCTGTTCTGCCTTTCTTTTAATACTATGCAATAATTTAATACCAAATTCACCAGAGAATTTTTCAARGCAAGTGAAGCACCCTCATTTTATCTCCTCTCTCTGACTCAAGTAGAAWGATTTATTCAATCTTTTTCCTTCACTCACTTCTTGCACGACACACTTCACGCAATTCTTTTCTGTATTTTCTATTTTAAGCTATGCTAATTTAAARTGTTTTGCAAATCATCCTAAGGGCCATGAGATCAGTTAGTCTCTTTCTCTAATGAGTACAGCAGGAACAAAACCACTGACCTAAAAATAGCTCCAACTACTTTAATATGCATCAGCCTGGTTATTCATATCTGTCCCCTGTGATCTAAACATTAAATCAAAGATGTTGAACTCAGATGTTAGCACAGATTCCACTTGTTTTTCCCCATGTATACAGTTGTATTCAAATTTCTGCCCCCAAGACAGGGGGTTTCACATAATCCTTCATCTGAATCAGTGTTTCAGTTAAAAAAAAAAAAAAAATAGTGCTAGAACACAAATCTGGAGGTCTGAAATCAGCTTTCATTATTAATACTCCTCTATTTGTTAAAATGATGAGACAATGGTATTTTTCTAGTTTGTAGAAAAGATTATTCCATTCTTTACTAATGTAGACTTATAAATATGCCAAGCTGCTGACAGTTATATGAAAATTTAATCCAGTATAGCCTAAACCCCATTTTTGTCACTCAATTTAACATGACTTTCAGTAATGTTAATAGYCAATTGCCTATTTATACACAGACTGTTGACATCTGAAATAATACTAATAATGACATTTTCATTTGCCTTATTCTCATAAATTATTTCTGATGCAAAAAAAAAAAAAAAAAGGGTCCAAGAACAGTTTAACAAAACTGCAGCATTAAACAATGACAAACAGCACCATAAGTTTTTGCATCATAGAATCAGAACACAGATTTATGTTTGCAGAGTGCAGTTTTTAACCAAGATGTCACATAACCTAACCAATAGAAATTGCAAGATAAGCTCATGCACCTTCCCTGGTCATGAAATCTCAGGGTTAGAGCTCTACAGACACAGAATTAAAACTCCTTCTTAATTCTGGACCCTCACCACCACAGGAAGATTCACAACACAACAGCATGTAGAAAAAAACCCACATGGAAAGTGGTTCATGGAATGCTAAACTGCTTCAAATTCAGAACAGAATTTAGTAGAATAAGGGAGAATATATTATAGTGACCCTAAGACATAAGTTATTTTTGGCAGTAGAGCATGAAAAAAAAAAGACACTAGAAACAAAATGTAGTTTCCCCCTCTCTAAAAAAAAAAAAAAAAAATCATTAAAAAAATACCAGAAATAAAAATCTTACAACATTCAATTAGGTTTTGACACAGAGGCTGTAATTACTCCTGGTTTTTCAATTTAATTTGCTACATAATAACAATTGCCTATATGTAACTTTTCAACTAAACTTCAAAATTGCTCATAAATTTCTTCTTTTGCTTTCTGTATAACATGCTGGTGACATATTTTGGGAATTCATTCACATATCTTAAACTCATACTTACATTTATTTTGCAAGGATCAGAATTCTAAGGAGATCCACTTTCATTCATGCTATTGCCTAAGCAACAGATAAATACTGTACATTTTGCATTAACCACATAAAGTAAAAAAAAAAATATGAAAAAAATACTTAAAAACTAGGTCAAAGGAATTATTTTTGTAAGCTTTCTACAAGTTCTGAAAAATGAGGTCATCCAGATGAATGTCTTCATCAAAACCTACCTTATTTATTTCTTCCAATCACTGGTAAATTCCCTACCAGCAATGTGTTTTTAAGTTGTTATCTGCCACTATGAACATTTAATTCCAACATTTAACTTGCTGTCACTATTAAAGAAAACAAAGCTGCACTACATGAACTTTCTCCAAGCAATATCTTGTCCTTTGGAGTCGTTATCAGCAGTCAGTGGGAATCACAGTAATTCATTTCTGTGTGGCTGATGAAGCATAATTAGCTTTACTGAAACAATAGGAGTGGAGAGAAGCTGCATTATTGAAGATAATTAGTAGGTGAGCTGATTGGGATCTATCTCAGCAGATGCAGAGTCTCTCTGTGCTGTTGAAAGGACAAGGAGAAAAGAACAATTTCTAAATACCTCTGAGTAGTCTCAGAGGCTGCTTTTTCCAGGGCTGGTGGTGGTGGTTCTGTGGATCTGAGCTCAGCCCCAGTGAAATTCCACCCTCACCTTTCCCACTGACCCTGTCCCACTGACCCCACAAAGGGAAACTCCTGGGACTGACATGGCATTAGCAAAGAAAACAGAATCTTCACTGGTAGGGTTCCAGTGTGCACCAAATCACCTCGTTTTGATTATAAAATAGAACACAAAATARTATCTGCTTTATACATATGATCCTTTCAGAATATTTAATCAATTTTCATTTAGAGGAAGCAGATAATAATGCTTTTAAACTCATTTTGATACAAACATCACATTTCTGTATGATTGGACATATTCTTCATATTGTTAGTACAAAGGGATTTATCTGATTTTGTGAACCAGTTACCTTAGTTAATGTGTTTGAGACATCCAACAAACTATTGCTGCAACATTTTTACTTTAAGCTACATGGAGAAACAAAGTGTATTTTTATGGAAACATTGGCTTTTTTTCCCAAATTCCCATTAATTTGGCTTACTGGARAGTGTTCATTATTACACCCAAACTTTTAATTACATGTCTCAGATGTGTACTTTTAATTAACTGATGACATTTTCTTTGTTCAATTATTGTAGTTCAATACAACTGTCGTAAACTTATAAATTTTAATTAAAGCTGCTCCAATCTCTGGCTGTATAACGTTCACATAGGAATTTGCCAAAAGGCTTAGCAGTAAGTAAGCCAACAGTGAATAATCCCTGAATTGCCAGTGGGATTTGTTTAACAAATTAACATTTGTGTGCWGATAATGAGGTTCTACAACTTAACACATCCAGCAAAGATTTAGCACAATCATGTTTTAAATTAGTAATACTCTGCAATTTACTTAATTAGTTATCACATTACCATTCTATATTAGGTGGGGGAAGAGAAGAGGATTTGCACGTTGACTAGAACACACACATTCACCAGCAGAGCATTTTGTATGCTGCCTCATTTTTTTTTTGGATCAGAACACAAGGCAAGATTCATTCCTAGGAAACCTTCTTGTTTTTTGAGCCAGAAGTGAAGAGCAAGAAAATTCCCTGACTCCTGGGGAAGTTTCCAGCTGGGGGGACTTTTAGGCAGCAGCAGCAGCTAAAATTGTTGGCAGTCCCTAAACCCTCTCTCGTTTATCACGTGTGTAAAACAACRTCAAAGCTGTTTGAGATAAATGTGTGGGAATTGAGAAGAACAATCAAAGCCTCCAAGAAAGAGAGGGCTGAGCAATGAGCTGAAATGATCACAGGTCATTCATATTTTACAGATGGGTTTAGGCTGGCACCYGCACACATACAGCTTGTGCAACTTCTAGAGGAAAAGTCTTCACCATTTTGAACAAAAATACACTTTAAAAATAGAGCAAATTTGAGAAATATATGGAACTTGGTTGCATGAGTCAGTTGTATGATGGATGAGAAGGATGGCTGCTGCTTTTTGAGTTGTTTCTGTGAGAACTGGTACAGGAGCAAACACACACAGCAGCAGCAGCACAGAAGATCAAAGTAAAATGATCCTGAGCTGACTTAATTTTAAAATAGTAACCCTACACTTTACAGAAATGGAGGGAATTCTTTACCAAAATGAGTTTGCAATAAACCTATTGGAACATSGGGACTTYACGTAAGTGTCACTTGTAGASCTGTTTTWGAGCTGGACCTGGCAGAGCTGGSCTAAGGGCTGGACTCAAWCTTGGAGATCTTTTCCARTSTYAATGATTSTAWGATTCTASTGCAATCAGACAGATCAACCTGGTAGGACAAACCATAAATCTAGACAAAATATAACCGTGAAGTTCTACAACCATTAAGGAAAAATGGAGCAGCTCCTGATAACAACGATCCTTTTCATTCCTCCGCGTAGAAATGTGCAAGAATGAARTAACACATGGATTAACAAGTCCCATATGAGCCTCACACAGCAGGTCAGCTCTGCCTGGAAGGCTGAGACAAAGAGACTGACAAGCAGCTGACACTGCTCTGGTCTGGATTTCACACCCTCAGCCCAACTGCAAATGGCCTGGGCAGAGCACTTGTAGCTGCAGGGGCTGCACAAATATGTATTGGACTGGAAAGAGGAAATGGTTGCAGCAAAAACACTCGAGGAATTAAGCTTTCTTGACTTAATTAAATTTTTTTCAGTGCTTTCAGGGAGTCCTGTGCAACTTCTGTCTGAGATACGTAACAGCCTTAGTATATCATGGATTAGATTAAACTGTGATAAGGAACATCTCCCTGGCATGCTAGTTTGTTTCAGTAACACACGATTTATGGACTGATATAGATTAGAAATACAGCCTGATAAGAAATAGAGATTTCCTCCTAATAGAATATTTACAGGGTCCAGGGGCTAGGCAGGCAAGGAAGATGAGATGCACATCAACCTGAAAATTTTATCTGGGACACTGGACGGAATCACTGTGATTTAGAAAGGTGTAAGGCCTTTTTTCCATGTTTCCAGCACATKARAGTTATGGTGTGGGCTTCGAGGCAMAGCTACCCTCATGAAYTGGAAATGGCAGAYGGGACTTCTGGTTAAYTTGAAATATGATCCTTAAAAATTTGATGTAACTAAGGGGACCCAGAACAGCAGAAGAATCCTCCCACCAGCAAGAATGCCCAGGTACAGCCATCACAACCAGCTCTGAAAGGCACTATTTGGTCATGTGTGCTACAATGAACTTCAGCTGCTGCTAAACATTCAGATCCCCCAAATCAGGCAAGTGAACAAAGAAATTAGGACTGTGGTGTCACCCATGCTGGATCTCCTGCTAGTGCAGACATGACATTCCATCTGGGACCAAGCATCAGGCTGATTCCTGCCCTCCCAAACTCATTCCTCCATCCTCAGACTGATTCCTGCCTCCCCAGGCTGATTTCCTGAACCCTCAGGCTGATTCCTGTATCCCCAGGCTGATACCTGCGCTCCCAAACTCACTCCTCCATCCCCAGACTGATTCCTGCTCTCCCAAACTCTTTCCTCCATCCCCAGGCTGATTCCTGTCCTCCCCAGGCCCATGTTAAGAACTGAACAGAAGCATTCTGTAGACCCTGCTCACATCTCTCCTCTCCCCACTGGTGACCAAACCTACTGCACACTAATTGTTTCAGCGAGGCTGAGCGATTTCCGAGGCTGGATTTAGCAGGAAAATGAAAATTAAAAATATCCATGTGAGGGCATAGCTGTGTGAGCACAGCAAGTGTGAGCTGCCTGGGAGAGGGAAAACAAACTGCTGGAGGTGAGCAAGCCCTGTGGCTACTGCCAAAAGAAAAGGATTAAACAAAACCCTGGGGTCTCTGCAGAACTCACAACAGAGCTCAGTTCCAGGAGCCAAGTTATTAATTTTATTAAGCCTTTTAACCCCACAAAAGAATCAATTAGATGCCAGACATGTAAAAATGTGGGAATAAACATCCTCCCTGCAGATGGGGGGGAAGTTCTGCGTGCCATTTAAACCATCCCTTCCATTCACCTGCACGTATTGATCTGACTGCATTGACAAAAATCACTGTTCATCATTTGTGTCAGCAGTTCCATCAGCTGCTGGGAGCAGTTTAAAGTATGATTAATCAGCTTCCAGCACAAGCAATTCTCATTTTCTGATATTTAGTCATTATTATGAACAACATTATTAACCCTCAAGTACTCAGAACGGAAAGAATAAATTACTAGACTTGCACTCGCTTGGAATTTTGCCACCACATCTCAGCCAGGAAGAGGAGACTACAGAGAAGCCAGGGACTGGGACTGAATTACTGAACTACACAGGCTAAAGTTAATTAATAAGGGCTGAGGAAATCTTTACAATCCAAGTTCCTCTGCCACAGACACTCAGGAATTATGTACCTCCATTACAGGGAGGAATCTCAGGTGCCTGGACCTTTTCTTTCAGAGATCAAGATTTTGGTCACTCCTGTGTTGTTTCTCACACACAGGGGAAAATTATTCACATCTTAAGCAGCTGAAAGTTTCTGAGAGGAAGAGGCAGCAAACTCTTCTCCAGCTGTTTTGCTTTGAATTGAATATTTAAGTATTTTCCTTGAAGCAGAAAATAAGAGTTCTGCTGCTCCTTTCTCACAAAATTACTACGTTTTAGAGTACTTCTTTTCACACTTTTCCTCTCTAGCCCAATGTTATACAAGATATGGGATGTGCTAGGGACAAAGATCAACTGCCAAATTCCTGCTTTTTAACAGGATAATCCCCCTGAACCTAAGAAATGTAATTTCAAATTCCTTCAGGAAAATGAAAGATTTGAGTTCTCATAAACAAAGTCTTCTCGAGAGTAAAATTCCTATTTAGTGAACTCCAGCTAAACAAAGGTAAAAGACTGAGGTCAGGTATTTAAGCAAATATCTCTGTGTACACACAYTTAAATTTAGGGGGTGAATTGATATGAATTGAGAGAACAAGATGTATGGACTCGTTGCAGATGTAGTTTGGACACTTTGCTTTACAATTCCACTGATACACCTCAACTTGCGAGTCTTTACCCTGAACATTTACTGACTCCTCCCTTTTCTGGCATTTTTTCTTTTTCTTTTTGTTTAATTGTGCTGAAACACCAATAGAAGGGAATGAGGAGCCCTACTGATCACAAGGAATATATGTGGAATATATTACTATTTTTGCACATTGTATAAGTACAGACAAAATGAATAATAAAGAGGAAAAAAAAAAATCTCAAAAATGAAGAAATTCAAACATTTGACACAGGTATAAGAACAAGATAGAGCTGCTCAGAAACACTCACCAAGGAGAGAGGCCCCGCAAGTTCCTCCATTCTGGCAGTAGTTGTAGCAGTGATTGGTTTCACACCTTTCACCAGAGTAGCTGGGCCAGCAGTGGCACCGAGGATCCCCCTTCTCGTTGATAATGCACTTCCCTCCGTTCTCACAGCTTAATTTACAGCTGTCATCTGCAGGAGAGMACACACAGAGCCTTCAGCAACCCCAGGGCTGTGGAAGGGGCAGAACAGAACCTTGTCCCTTAATCACAGCCACAGAGCGCTGCCAGTGGGGGGAAAATAGCACTTTTCAAATTGGAGAAAGTAAATTGTCATTTCTGTTTCCACAGGGATAGAAAAAACCCACACACTTAGGCGACCACAAATCCTGGAAAGGAGCTGTAGAGTCAGTGGGAATTCTTGCGTGGCACAGGGAAGTTGACTTCCCTAGGACCTAAATTAGTAATGATAGGATGAATTCTTGTTTGAAACTATAATTCACAGTTAGAGAATTAAAAAAGAAATGAATGTTGGTTTTACCTGGGAGACCTCAGAAAACTTCCCAGTCATTTTCTGGTTACCTCAGGCCTTTTTTATTAGCTTTTTTTGATCTCTCACCCACTCTCTCTGCTAAATAACAGCCTTCTTAACTAAACCCTGTCCAATAGATTTTAAATACAATCATTTAGCCTTCAAATTCTCTTCAAAAATTGATATTTGCAGAGAAACTTGTTGGTCCTAAATGTTATTTTCTGATTTTTCTTTTTTTTTTTTCTTATCTGCTCAGACCATAAAGCCATTGAGAAGGGAAGCTGCTGCTGCTCTACATTCAGGATTCTTATGGCAGCAGTGCCACTCTCTTAGAGGTGAGGAGTGAGGGGACACAAATTCTGATCAGGCCAGATTCACTCTTTATGTAAAGCTCTTTTGTACTTACAGTTGTGCCTCTCTTGGAAATATATTGAACAGTAAACCTCTATTTATTTCAAGGTATAAAATTATTTAATGATAATAAATTGATTATAGGCAAGCACGCATACAATGCTCAAACATCCCAATAACTGTAATCCTAAAGAAACAGAATAGCACCTTTCCAGCCCAAATCATGCTTTCAGCAGTGAGATTTCATTTTTCACACAGCAAAACAACCTTGTGAAGCCAGCTGCTTCCTAACTAATCCAGGATTTGAGCCTACACAGCTTTGAACAAGAGGGATGCCACAAGCACTGAAAATTCCTCAGTAACACATCCACCTGCAGGCATTTTGCTGAATTCATCTCCTTTAGTCAAACAATTCCTGAAAAAGAGTCGAGGCTCCCATTTGTCCTTTGCTGTTGAAGTCCAGCATTGACTGGCATGCCACAGACACCCCAACTCCTTGGAGGTTTGAAGGAATAAATCGTGTTGCAAGAGCAGAATTTAGGAATGTTGGATTTTCTGTACCCAAACAAGGGTTGTAAACCCTTTACAAACCCTTTACAACCCTTGTTCTAAACCCAACAAGGACTCTGTAAACCCCAGCAACATGACTGTACTTGTGCTGAGCCCTTTCTTTGCCTCCTTTCACAGCCAGGGCTGACATGGTGTAGACACGTAATCTGGCATCAAACCTATTGAAACAAAACTTCTGGAAAATCTCATCTTGCAGGTAATTGCACCTTTCTAAAGTTGAGCTGAAATCAGGCAGCAAATCCCAAAGCTATCCCAGCGGATTGACCAGTACGTTGTTATTTCATGAGTTTTACAATAAAAATATGAAATCCTACTTGCACTTAATTTGTTTGGTATCCACCCTGGGTATCTACAATGGTTGTAACAAAGCTACTTCGTGTTTGGGAGTTTGAGGATCCTTCGGTGTTTTATTTGTTTGGGTGGTTCATTAAATCCTTTGATGTTCCATGAACCGCTCTTCAGTTACTCATTACAGGAGTTGTTTGAATGGATAATGTAGCATATCTTATTGGAGGGAAGGTCTATTTTTGTTTTGCTTATCTTATCTGTTTTACTTATCATTAGTCATGAGTTTATGGAGCAGAACTTGGTAAAAGCAGAATAAATAACAGTGAAGTACAGACAACTGCTCATTTTTATGAACCTTTCTGATGGTGCATTAAAAACATGTTCTATTTCTCTTTCAGAGCAATTCCACAGAATTAAGATACAAAATTTGAAAAAAAAAATGGAAATTACTACTGATTTTGTTCTCTATGAAACATTTTAAATTCAAGAGTTTCAGTACCACTCTAATATGAAACAGAAATGGTAACATAACAATTTTGGACTTTCAATAAGCTGAGGAAGGGGATTGAAAGATGCAATGCATGAGCCAGTTTGAAAATAGTGTATTAGGCTTGAACAATATCAGGAGTTTCATGCTGCTGCTTTGCTGTCTGGAGGTAAATACAAGAAATAAATTACACTGATTCACATCAACTGAGCACAAAAGGGGATCAGATGCCTTTGTGTAGGAGATATGAGCAGAATAGTCCCATAGGAGAACACAGGAAGAAAAGGAATACAGGAGAAAAACACAGAAGAATTAGAATAAAAAGCTGAATAGACTTAATTTGAATTACTGAATAAACACCTCAGAAAGAAGAGGTGGGAACAGGTTTACCAAGTACCCACTCTTGGAATGAAGTTTTCAAAGAAAAAAAAATCAGAAAGTTTCTAACTTCATCCTTCAATACTTCTCTGAGCATGCTGAACTTAGATTTAAAGACCTCTCAGCTGCTCTTTACACTTTTGAAACGACAGAGGCAAAATCTTTTCACCTATCCTACCCCAGTCTAGCTACTGAATCTCTCTAACATGAAAGAAAGGATTACAGATCATGTAATTTTATATTTTCTCTCCTAATTTGGATACTTAGTTTTCTGCTGTATAGCCTCCTAAAAGAAAAGAACCTGATCTATAAATTGACTTTTCTTTTGTTTTCAGGCTATTGGTGACCTATTAATGGGAAGTGGAATGCCATCAGTTCAAGATGCTGATCTTGGGACAGCTCTGATCTTTCCAGGAATCTCTGCTGGTCCTTGGAAACTTAAGGGGAGTATCAGCAAGAGAAACATTTAACACCCACTTACACATTAAAAAAAATAGTGCAAAAGCATTATTAGAAAGTACTATGATACAGAAGTTTGTTTCAGCTCATGATTTGTAATCTGTGATGCTACAAAACCTGCAATCTACTAGTACAAAAATAATGTCCTGAGAAAAAAAATGTAAGGAAAAGCCTACACAAGACATTACTTGAAATATAATTGCAAACAGAGAGACAAAAACCAAACAAAACTAAGAAACACTTATTCAGCAATCCTTGAAAAAGTCATAAAAGATATTGCAGCCGTAGGAAGGTACTGCACTGAAAATTACCAATATATTAAAAATGCTTCTCTAGGCATTTTCTGTCCATACATAAAAATTTATAATAAGTCATTTAAAAACCTCTTCATGTCTTTAATAAAAATACACCTCCCTGAAAACATTACCATGACATAATCCTTTGCCCACTAGTAAATATGGATCATTACTGAAATTATGGGTTCAATTTGGTACAAGTCAGCAGTGAAAAACAAAATTATTTTATCTGTTCATTTTTCAACACCAAAGTAATAACAATGGGTAATTTGAAATAATTTGAGGAGGTGCTGTAACAGCATAAATTCTTGACAAATATCCCCCTGAGATGGACAAAGAGCTGACAGTTGGAGGGGTAGGGAGGGTGTTCAGACTGATTTGTGTCCAGAGTTGAATATTTTTATTAATCCCCATCATGAACCACTAAAACACAGCTCTTAAGTCAATATTCAATGCCTAGGCAGTATGGATTGGTGAGATTTTCTCCAGGGAATTATGACATTTCAGGTAAATTAGTTTAATTGCTAAATTGAACACTTTAAGCACTGAGGATCTCACCAAAATATCCATCACTTGCACTTCTGAGCCTGGAATTAAACATCAGGAAAACATCCTAATACATGTAATACACACAAAAAATGCTGTTTGTGCTTTCTAGAACATTTTAAAATTCAAGCTCACTAAGAAATCATTCCAGGAGTCTGACTACCTTAGGTTTGGCCTAAATTAGAGTGAAAGAAGTTTTAAAGCACTTAATAATCTCCTATGAAAAAGATTCCCTCCCCATCCCTAAAACACAGCAAGAACTTAGAGGCTCCTTTCCCATGAAATCCGGTTTCCTGTGTCTCAGTATTAGTTATTATATAGTCATTCATATATCTAAAATAATTTTAGATGAAAATGCTGCAGTTTTTTCCTTTCTTTGACTGTTGCTTYRAAKTAMTTTTTATTTGCTCTGTTGCTCTCACTGCCTTTTCAGCATTGTTGCAGTGTTTTTTTCTCCCAAATGGCTCGTGTTTGATTTGGGATCCAAAATACTTCAGAGCTTTTCAAACTTCTTTCAGGCAATATTTATGCCCATTCACATTTAAGAATCATCTTGTATCAGTTAAGCTGAAGGCTCATTTTTCATTTTGATGAATATTAGCAAGGGGACTATTTTTTTGAATCAGGGATTTGGTTTCTTCATATTTCCTTTGCATTTCAGCTCAGTAATGTTATTATTGAACAACATCACAAAACTCTGGACTCACAACCAGCTTTCTGCATTGACAAAAACTGACCAGCTGTTTATTTTCTGGTTCTTCTGCACTTTTCAATACCTACCTAAGAGGCTCTGATCAATGCATGTTCCATTCATCAATGATTTTCCTTCTGGACAAGCACACGTTGCACCAGAAGGGTTGAGTAAACAGATGAATTCACACGTCAGGTCCAAGCATGGATTAGGCACTGTTTAAAAAGACAAAAATAATAGAAATTTTATTTAAAAAAATTAGAACTATGTTCCAAACCCATGATAAATAATCAGAAACAAAAATTCCACTTTCCAAGGTATCAGCAGCCTGAAATCCATGAACACAGTCCCTCAAACAGCAGAATTTATTCCATTAACAAAAATGCATTGGTAACACGGCGTAAAAACTTTCATCTGCTTCTGGCTAGAGGGATTTTTATTCATCTCTCTACTAATTTTTTTTTTTATACCTCATTTGCAGTGCAGGTCTAAAAGACATTTGTGTACAAATTTGCCCAGCGTCGTTTCAAATGAGCGAAAACGCATCAAATAACCCAAATCAAAATTATACAAAGAAATATGACTAAATCTATTTTCAATTTGTACAATCAGGCTCTGGTTTATATTTATACAGCTTGGTTACTGTTTCCCCCCTGAGGTGAATGTGCTCGATATTGAGTTTAAAGTAATTATGCTTACTCACAGTCCATTTGTTTGTAGCGGTGAAAAATCAAGGCACTTTTTGCTTTATCAACATCCACACTTAGGTATTCTACAAGGCTCCTGCCAAATTTGTGCACTCTAAATGCACCATTTTTGGGGCCTGCTCCATATATGTAATCCTCAAAAATGTCGATTCTATGTGGATGCAGTAAACCTTGAATAAAAATGGATATTAAAGAAAAATACATATTCATATTCAAATAATAAACAACTTGGTTTTAATACAAAATTCAATTTAATGATTATGATTATCACCTAAGGACATTATCATTCAGACAGCTTGTTTTGTCCCTACAAACATTGCCTTTAAAAAAGCAAACTGCCTAGAAGAAAATCTTCCCATTCTGCAGACAAGTTAAATCTCAAGCTTTTTACTAGTTTTCCACACAATTGAGCCTCAGAAACTGGCTGATCATTGAAAAATAGGGAAAGTCTGCAGTAACAACTCATTAATTGCAACATACTTGTTCTACCTTGGTACAACACTTTAACTCCATGTATGTGACAAGGAAAAAACAGATAATGTTGCTTTATGTCAAATTATTCTCACAAAACATCTCTTCAACTCCTTGCTAACATATTTGAAATGCTAGTTTTTTGTACCACACTTATTTTAATTCATAATTACAGTAAATTAATGCAAAATAAATTATTAACTCTAGCAATTCCTCATTTTTAAGAGCTCTGAGGGCCTGTTAGGCCACCAGTTGGATTTTCTATGCCAAGCTGGCTGTAGAATTTCACATTTACCCCTCTAACAAGACAATGGCTCCTAACTAAAACTTCTTCGCCTGAGATGCATCTCTTCCTGAAGCCACAAAGAAACAGAAACTATCATTCCTTGTGATACCTTGTTCCTAGTCCATTTACTCTAAAAATGGCTTTGTATTTCCCTTGCATTTATTTAATTTCATCTATGAGCCTTTATTTCTTCCTAATGTTCCTTTGTGCTGTAATACTTGGTACTCAGTATTTTATTTTCATAAAAAGATGTATTAATTCTAATTATTTATTCCAAGCATGTTTAGTTCAACGGGTTGAAGTTTTTAGCCTCAAGCAATTTCTAAACTCCCCAAATTTTCCTTTGGTCCAGTGCTAAAGCAGGTTTTGGTCAGATCCCTACACTCAAAGTGATCTCGCTGCAGATGATTTCCTTCATGTACTGATAGAAATTGTGCAATAAAATATTTTTAATCCAAAATATGGCGATTTAAATGTTGCCCAGACCAATTTGGGTTATGGGAGATTTCTCCTAGTACATTCCAGAATATCCTAATGAATTCTGGGTTAAAACACTCAATAGTACCACATATATCACCCTGAACCAACTGTCCACTAAGCAAGCCTCTCTAAAAGTCTGCTTTCAAGTATTTTTCAATGTGTTCCTTCACTTCTCAATTTTCATTATTTTTTACTCAACAAATTGTTGAAAAGCCATTGTGCAACCCTATAAAAACAGTTTAAGAAGAATGTCTTTCCTTATCACAGGAACTTTCCCCATTCACATTGTTAGCAGAACTCTGTGATTACTCACTGACCTCAAAGTTAAGCCCATTATTTCTCCAAGAACTGATTCAGATCAGCAGTTCTACAACCCCTAAAACTCCCATTCAGTGCAGGCAGCTCCAAGTCCAAGTGAGACCAAACCTAATTATTACCCACAATTTTACTCAATAATACCTAAACTTGGAGATCTGCACAAATCATTGAACCTTTGTTCCCCCAAGGTAGTTTTATTAGATTGTCTTGAAGGTAATCTGTTTAGATAATATTTGAAACATTGGCTAACAATAACATATTACTTAATAACCACTGATTTTTGCTTACAATTTCCCTGAATAGTGAAACTTCAGCCAAATGAAATAAAACAGGAATCGTGTTCAACACAGCTCTCCATACCTTGTTTTGTGCTCACAGACACAACTGAATCGGAGCCATCAAAAAGGACACTGCCAATAACAGATAATTCAAAATCAGCCCAGAACAAGCGCTGGCTGTACTGATCAACTACGAGACCTGCAAAGGAGATAAAGTTCAGATAGGTACATAAAACCAGGAAAAAAATTAATATTGTTATGTAACTACATTTCTATATCATTCATAGTCTTATGTACACAAAATATTGTGACAATGAAAAACTTGACTGGAAACAAAGGAGAATAAAATATAACA